AAAAAAAAAAAAAAATAAATAAACACAACAACCAGGTAAACAAATTTGTTTGCAAAATATCTACATGAGAGAGGCATATTCAGTACACCAAAAGTCACACTCTTTTTCATCTCCTTTTTTTCTCAAACTTCATAAAATTTGCCAATATTTATGGCTTAGAAAACCTACTGATGAATTCAATTCGAATTGTTTTTGTCTGTTGAACTTCATCGCCAATTTTTGCCATACATTTGTAATCACCGGTATCATTAACTGTCGGTGCAGCAAACATCAGCTCTGCGATACCAACACTATTGAATGTAAATATCCTGAACAGACACCTTTAGTCAAGCAACTTTTTAAAACTAATATATTCTAGTTAAGCTAATCAACTTTGTCTTTTCTTTCCCTTTTCTTTGGGCATAGTACTACTTTTCTAATCTGCTGCAACGCATCCAGTTTATTCTTATAAAACTGCACAATTCTGACCTATCCTTCTCGATCGGTTTATCATTTTGATACCACGCAATACTGATTTCTTGAGCTGCGGCATCTTTATCTTCAATACTACAGGTAAGAGCGGCTGCATCACCTTCCAACTTCCTTAACAAGTCCTGTTCAAAGGACGAGAAACGTAACTCAAAAGCACCTAAACTCGTCAAATAAAAACCACATAATACATAGAAGAAATGCCACAGAGAACTATTTTGCCGTTTGGGTTTTCATGAATTCTGGTAAAAAAGAAATGGTTACAAATTTTTACCGCTACTTTCTGTGGAAAAACACTTTAGTATCCATTGCTTCAGCTTTTTTTTGACCCCCCAGTTTATTATCTATCTGTTAATGACACTGTTGCAAAATTTCAATGAATTTTATTTTATGAGAAGGAGATTTCTTTTATTTTTGGCGGGTAAAACGGAATAGAGGAGGGGAGGACGATGGCGGTGGAGGGAAGCGATGGAGAGACAAAAAATGGCATCACATGCGAACAATTAATTCAGTCAAAAATTATACGCTTAAAAGCGGTAATTTTGGTGATTAATGTCTTTCAAATTTGTCAACCTTTGCGGTATCGAAATACACCACAAAAGATAGTCGTGAGCAACAATATGTCGCCAACACCGACAACACACTGTCACCGGGCGACAACTGACGTGATGGATACAGCGTGGAACCCATACAAACACCTTACATTTCACACGATTGTTTTTTCAGCTACCCTTGAGATGTCAGATTTATGAAAAAGCATCAGTTACTATTTGTTGGTGTGCTGAGCAATAAATTAAATCTCGTGCACATATATGCCAAATTGAGGCTTAAGTACTACAGACAACACTTAAAACAGGCTCCTAGAATGAAATGATTCATTTGTAAGTTTTATCTTCAAAACTCCCTTTATTTCAGAAGATGTCTTATGTTATTTCTTAAAACCGCGCTTTCTGCCCCTATTTAGCTAAGTTTGGGTGTTTATTGTACAACAAGTCAGTTAAACACTAACAAAAGCAAAGTATTATTTCGAGTTTTAGGGTCTAATCTCAATGAACATAGAAGATGAGTAGCAGTATCGTATCCTTGACTTATACAAATAAAAACCCATTAACATCACCACAAATCTCGACTGGCTTCAATGCTTAAGCTTCTTAGGTCAGTTACATATTTGTAGCTGTACATATATTTACAATCTGCAAACATATACCGCTCAAAAAACTTTTGTTTGTCCAAGCGGAAATTTTACAAACCTGATGGCTTAACACGGTTATGTCAAGTTTTAAACTGCAACGGGCAGTAAGAAGTTTCTTCATTTCAACAACTTACATTTAGCTGCTCAACAATTATTCGTATTAGCCGGAGCAAGAGAGACCAAAAACAACAAAAACGGCAACTATATATTTGTATATGTACATCCCCCGATAATGACTTATGTACAATAAAAACTGATGTTTTGCTATTAGAGAGATGAAAAGAGGGGCTGGGAGAAAGAGGAAGCTAAGAGCCGAAAGTATAGTGACAACGTTAATGATGATGATTGTGGGTGCGGAACCAGTAAGTGTACTAATGTTGCCCAATATAATAACGTATAGTAAAAAGTCATTTTCGACTGACAGATGACAAATCTTGTGCGAAAAAAAAAATTTTTTTTTATCATTTCTAAAATGACTTTTGCCTTTTCATATTTACGAAAGCTTTGAGCTAACAAACTGTTTAGTATATAAACATGGATAAAAAAACTTTGGTATGTTGGTAACAACGAGTCTGTCATAACCAAATGAATGAATGAAATAACAGGTCTGAATTGTGCTGTTAAATTTTTTGTGCTTCATGTGGTTTTTAGTTCAGTTAAACGACGATCGACCACCAGACTAACCGAACATCACTGCCAACTAAATTTTCTAGCCAACTAGCAGCCAGCCAAACATCAAAACTAAACTACAACTGGGGGTACGTACACGTTGTACAAATTGAAAGTAAACCACTTTACCAAAACAGGTGCCCACTTCTCCAACTAAAACAATGTCATCATCTAACATAATAGAATAAAAACAAATTTTTTTTCTTCCAACTAAAACTACTTCATACAGTACATTGCCGCTGCTGTGTTACTATTGTTTTCCACTGAATTTATCGTAAGCACCTGTCATCATCTTTGTTCATCCTCTTTTATCTTACTGCTCAAAGTTTGCAGCACAAAAGAAAAAAAAAAAACTATTTTAATTCAATCTACAGTGAAGCCAATATTGGCCTAAAATCTAAACAATCACTCAAAAGTTTTTTTTTTATGAGTTTAAAAAAATTGTAGTTATAACAAACTAAAAAAACCCCGTAATTTGCGGCTCTCTCTCCTTTCCCTCACTTTTTCTTTTCCCTTCAAAAGGAACTCTTGATTTTTGTTGTTGTTAGCAGTGTATTTGTTTGCAAGCAAGCAGTAGACGAGCACCAATACAGCAGAGCTTTATGAAATCAAATATTCTGTACACAAATGGTAAAAAGAGACAATAAAAAAAAATTTTCTACTACTTTTTTCCAGCGACGACAGAAAATTCAATTGTTTTGAATATTCTGCCAAACCCCCATCCTCTCAGTTCTTTCCTGACAAAACAACTCTATCCTACACTGTTAAAAATTTCTACTTTTCCACTTTTCTCTGTTTCCCAAAACAAAAATCGTTTGGTGTTTATTTATATTATTAATAGCCTGCAAAAAAATGTCAGACAAAAATGCTCAACTTTTTTTTTTTTATCACCGACTGAAAAATCAAAAAAAAGCCTCGTTCTGATCTATATTTCTCTTGCTTTCTTTTAACGCGGTTTAAAACCAAAAAAATTCTCCTCCATTACACAACCTAACACGAAAGTATTTGAAACCTTTTATCACATAACTTTTACTCCTTCACACAATTTTTTTCGTTCTTTCGCTAGCAAAAAGAATTCATGTCTTCATCTCGGCTCCCCGAAAATTGCTGTAAAATGTCTGGGCTAAAAAATATGTCAAAATTTGTTTTCTAATTTATACAACTTCAGATTCAGTTTATCGCTTTAATTATTGTCAACAAAAAAAAAGTGAATGAACAAAAAACTGGAAAAAAAAACAAAAAATTTGTCTTTTTTCCCATATTATTCTAGTATCTGTAACAGATGCCAATCAAAATAGAAAAAAAACTAGAAACACTGTATATGGGATTACACTGGTACGGTGTTTGGAGCTCCATAATTTTCAGTAGTAGGTAATCCGATTTGCAGGAAATCTTAAAGAAAACAAAAACAGACTGATCAGCTGTACGGTTGTTCAGCAATTTTCTCCGTTGTTTTTTAATTCATTTTTTTTAACATGCTTATTCTTTTCCACCGTCACTTTTAATTATTCCACATTAACAGTCCATCGCAGCAGTGGTCCAAATGGGAGATAATCAACAAAGACAACAAAAATAAAACTACAAGAAAAAACCTGAGGAGGAAATTGCAGAGAGAAAAAAAAAAGAAAAATAAAAAAAAAAGCTTTTTCTTCTACTCAGATTCATAAATAACCATTATAAATATAAAAAGAAAACATTGCAAAAGGATTGCTTTTCCATCAACCAAAAATAAACGATGAAACAATCAACTTTTCAATGCTTTTTAACTATTCATCTAAATTCCCATAACAAAAGTAAAAAAAAGAAGAATAGAGAAAAATTTTTTCATCTTTTCTTTTTTCTTCTCAAAGCTATAGTATAAGTAGAAAAAAAGTAAAAGGAAAAAAAACAAAGAAGAAACTAAATGAAAGACAACAGCAAATGTTTTTTTTTTTCAAATAACTTTAATTTTTCTTTTTGTTTTTATTTTTCCTTTTTGCATTTTGCATTTTGCTTTTATAGCTTTTGAAAAAAATTAAATGGGACCCAAAATAGATGAAAAATTGTTCTTTTTTTTTTTTGGTTTCTCTCATCCATCCACATAAATACGTATTAAGGAGTCAAATGTCTCAATCATTCAAATCCATTTACCAGTGCCCATTATCCTTATAATTTTTCACTATAACAATCTTCACCACCAACCATAAGCAAAGAAGCTGGAAAAAAAAACAAATGTTCATCGCTGTTCTATCTTTGGGGTTAAATAAAACGATTATTGAAAGATACAGTACTTTCTGATCTTGTTAAGGAAAAAATGAGAAGGCATAAGGAAATTGTTCGGAAATGACGGAGTGCAGTTGGGGACATTTGCAACCGACTTGCATACTCTATCTTAGCAATTTCATATCTAATATCACTTTCACGATGAATCGATGAATCCTCATCGATTAGACTTCTGTTTTTGTATCTTTGTTGCATTCCAGAAGTGCTAACAAATGTTTCATGTTTGCGGTCTACCTGAACACCATAGTATTGCAGCTTTGTTATCGCTGTGCTAACCGCGCTAAAAGACCTCATAGACTTTTTTACTGCACTAAAAACAGTGCGACAATAAATCTCACAAAGTATTCGAGGAAAAAGCGGCAAAAAAAAAGGATAACTGGACTTTAAACAATAAAGTTGCTTCTTATTGTCATTCATATTGTTAATTCCGTTAACTTCTCATTGTTCCTTACGACGTTTGGTCGAACGATTGTTATTCAACACGCTATCTGCTGTGAAAAAAACTACGTAAAAGTTTGCAGACACTTTAATTCCCTGTTTCCTTCCTCGTTCCAACTCCAGCTAAGAAGAGAAAGGACAAAAGTTTTAACATTAAGTTGTTTTAAAAAAAAAACAGTTCCTCACTAAGTGTTAAAAAAATCTTTAATTTAAACAATTGCTTTTTTCAGGATACCTCAGAAGCAGAACACTGGTTTCAGATACCAAGAATCTATAACAATTGTTTAATCTTTTAATTGGCCACCAATGAAAATACCAAAAGAGTAATATAAGTTGAGGCTCAGAATTCTTAAATTTGAATCTGAAATCAACCGAAAATCGTAATCAATAGAATAATACAAATATTTTGTCCTCCATTTAATCTCTGTTGTCCCTCACCACTAAATCCCTTTAACTTCTAATAGCACAACAGATGACATCGTTCTGCGGATTTTTTTTCCTTTTTTTTTCTTTGCTCATCAAATCCCCATTTCTCTCTCCTTCAACTTCTAGTCTTTTTTATTTATTTCCAGTAATTAAGCCTCATTTTCCGGCCCTGTTGATATATTAAACTCACTTTTGATTTGCAGTTTGCAACTGCCAGCAGTCATTTTTTTCAAAAAAGCAAATTTTTTATAGTGTTATTATGAAACTGTTCATCATCTTCAACAATTATCATCACCTTTTTCCGCATTTTATCTAATATGACAGGTGAAAGTTGGCTTTTTTCCCTATCTTCCTAAAATTTAGGATAAAGCAGGAATTTGACAAAAATAAAAAAAAATAACAGCAAACTACTGGAGAAACAACAGGATTTTTAAAATATTTTTTACGGTAGCCTAGTGAAGCGGAAAATGATTGATCTGCTGGTGAAAATATGCGTATACAGAGAGAAAGACAACTGGCTGAGGTGAGCTATCCAAAAATAGAATCAACCATCCGGCCTTTACAGGTGTGTGCTACAGTTCAGCTGGGTACGGATCACAGCCCAAACACAATGCCGAAAACCGTTTTGCTGGATAGGCCACAAAAAACTACGGAAGATTATTTGTTATTTTTGGGCATTTGCATGTGACGACTTAAATAAAGC